AAGCCCGTACGGTGGGCGTGGCCGCCACGCCACTCTCAGGAGCCTCCCAGGCCCGGGAGCCGCCCGGGACGCCCCATTCCCCCTTCTCTCGCAGCGGTCGCCTTAACTAGGCCACATTGCCGCCGACAACGGAAAGTAACCGGGAGACCGCGGACGCCGTCGACCATCACCCACCTTAACGGGCTCAATCAAAACTCACCTCTGAGGATACAATCAACACTCTCCTCAGGCTGATCCAGTCAACACCCACTCAGGTCGACGAGGCGGGGCCTGGTTAGCCAATAGCATCTCTCGCCTTCCCTGGCCGCTCATTGGAAAGGACCACGGTGGGGAGGCGGGACTTCCTGTCCAGCTGGGACTAACCCGCCTCCCGTATTGCCACTTCCGGCAGAGCCACTGGGGAAGTCGGCAGCTGCTCCGGCTCTTCGTGGAGCGCGCGGTGAGTTAAGGTTTGCGCGCCTCGTCGGGTCAAGACGCTGGTCGCTAGATTTCTGCCTTTGTCTCCTCTTATTTCCCATCTGGCGATGGCGACGTACACCTGCATCACCTGCCGGGTGGCGTTCGACGACGCGGAGATGCAGCGGGCCCACTACAAGACAGATTGGCACCGCTACAACCTGAAGCGGAAAGTGGCGGACATGGCCCCGGTCACCGCCGAGGGCTTCCAGGAGCGCGTGCGGGCGCAGCGGGCCGTGGCGGAGCAGGAGAGCAAGGGCACGGCCACCTACTGCACCGTCTGCAGTAAGAAGTTTGCCTGCTTCAACGCCTACGAAAACCACCTCAAGTCCCGGCGGCATGTGGAGCTGGAGAAGAAGGCGGTGAGTCGGAGGGTGGAGATGATGAACGAGAAGAACTTGGAGAAAGGGCTGGGCGTGGACAGCGTGGACAAGGATGCCATGAACGCGGCCATCCAGCAGGCCATCAAGGCGCAGCCGTCTCCCAAGAAGGCCCCCCCAGCGCCTAAGACGGAGGCGGGGGGTCCCGTGGCGGCGGCCGATGGAGGACGGGGGACTGACGACCGAGACGCGGCCGAGAAGCCTCCCCGGCTCCAGTGGTTTGAGCAGCAGGCCAAGAAGCTGGCGAAGCAGCAGGGCGAGGAGGAAGAGAGCGAGGAGGAGGGCCCGGATGGCGACGGTACGCGCCCGCCTTGGGA